GCAATATTGGACATGACCGAATTTATGGGCAATATTTACATGAACTACATTTTATTACAATGAACTCTCTCATAGTACGATCTATGTAATTGAAATTATTCCTCAATAATTAAAAAAACGGAAGGAATTCCTTAGTGTGTATTAATAGAAGACATCTTTATTACAATAAATATAGTAAGGAGCATCTTCGGTAGCCAATTAAGGACTATGAGTGCGAAAATAGGCAATACAGACGCATTCTTCCGCAACTATCTTTTACAAATCGATAGTGCTTTTGTTATACATCCATTTTAGATTCAAATATTAATAACTGAAGATTAGAAAATACAGTAGCATAACAACGAAAGTCAAACAAACAAAGCAACCAAAATCGTCCGCGTAACGTATAAAGGATCACCGCTTTACAAGGGCCCGGGTACGATTCCCGCTGCGAGACAGGGCACATCGCGTGCCGTAGCCCACTGCCCTTGTCTACATGACACCCGTTACCCGGCTTTTATCCGGACTAAATCTTTACTTATATTAATATTTTAATCTTACTAATATTATATTAGCGTTTACGTTTAGATTAGTTGATTAAAGATAGATGTAGAATATAATCTGAAAGAACGCATAGGCTACTAATAAAGTTTTTTTTAATTCTCCGAGTGTGGAGACGCGGCTGTCAACTAGTATATAATAAAACTCATATAAAACATACAAAATTAAAAACCAGGGGAACTATTGTCAAGCACATAAAAATATCGTATTCTTAACGATATTTTTGAATTAAGAATAAATTTGAATGATAGCGCCATCTAGCAGACACTTTTATAACAGGATTGGCCTACCAAATCCGGTATTATAGATACGTAAGATAAAAGCCACATTGATAACTGGGAACTAAGCCCATTCATAACAAGTATCGAATATCTACAAAGACTAAATTAGTTTAATCCTTCGAAAGTTAGATTTTTTTTGACGTAAATGCATCAAAGATAACATATTTTGATGCCTAATTCATCATCTAGGATGGATCAATCGTCCATCAACGTTATAAACAAAAAAGCACGGATCTGCCTTTACGAAAGACAAAATATAACCCATTTCTTGCAGTCCTGGTACATTCTCACTTCTACATTCATACATTTCCACACCCACAAGTCAATTATGTTTAATTATGATATAAAAATGCCGACAAACATATTATCAATTCATAAATAAACAACGTATTTATCTTACTAATATTATAAATGCAAATATTTGTATGGATGTTTATTACAAGACTAACTGTCGCCCGCGTGATATATTAAAAAAAAACTTAATTAGTGTAGCCCACCCGTCCATCTAAACATTCGCATTTATAATATTTAGTATTATAAGTTAAATAAAAACAGCTCTTCAAGGCATAAATTCTACAAAAACAATGAATAAATAGTATCCTATGTCCGTCTCCTGGCTCTAAGCTACCTCCTCACCAATTTTTCAGCCATATCGGTAAAGCCGTTCTTAAATTATAAATAGTTTAACTAAAAGGATTTTCTTTAATATATATAGATTACCACAACGAATGAATGGATCTCGGTGAAATTAGGCATAGATGTAGAACATAGTCTGGAAGAACACACGCTTCTAACTACGTTTTTTTTAAGTCCACGTGAACGGAGTCACGGACCACAGCTTTATAAATATTAATTTTAATCAATAGCAATTTAATAACATCTCATATGAATATTTACAAAACAAATGCCGTTTGACAATTTTATTAACCTAAAAAAACAATTGACAGATTTCTTATATCGCACGCCAATGTTTAAATATGTTTTGACATACGCACTATCGATTAAGAAATTCATTTATAATTTTGTTTATTATTACAATAATCTATTTCAGGGGTAACCAACCGTTCGATCTCACATAAAAAATAACAGAGGATGCTTAAAAGCGCACATAAACATAAATATGTATTTAGTAGGAAAAATTGTCATTTTTGCATTTGAATAAAGTACTAGATAGAGCGTCGGTGGCTCAGGAGTCAAGCACTTGACTTGCACTCTGCAGGTCCTGGGTTCAAATCCCGCCATGTACCAATATGTTTTTCGATTTCCGATTTACATATGTACATTTATCCGACGTTCTTACGGTGAAGGAAAACATCGTGATGCAACCTGCACATATGTGTGAAGAAATTCAAAGATATGTGTGAAGTCAACCAATCCTCACTTGGCCAGCGTGGTTGACTATGGCCTAGTCACCCGTAACTTAGGTTAGTCTCCGAGCCCCTCGGTGGGGACGTATAGTGAGCTGATGATGAATCTATACTGGTTAATTTTAATATCACATAGTTTGTAATTAATAGATCGCACAGGGTTTCGTCAGTTAACAGTGAATCTCTGGTCTAATCAAGTTGGTCACCCCTGAATTTATTTACGCAACATTGTAGACATTATAAGATTTTTTTGATTAAAAGTGAGATATTTGAGTAATTTTTATTATATTTTCAGCTATCTATTTAAAAGAAAATGTCAAATATATAAAAAGGTTCATTCCTATCATGAATTTACTTAGTAAAAGTCCTAAAAACGTATTAAAAATGTTGATAACGATTCAGAATTAATAAAAACATAGCTAGACATAAAGTACATTACAAAATTAAAATCTTAACAATACATTTTATTAATAAAATGCCGTTTATACGTTTTTTTTTCTTTGCAGATATATTAACCAGACAAACCTTGATCCAAAATTTACAATAACGGCAATTTTTCATTATATAAACTACGAACTCGCAAATAGTTATTTCTTTGTACGATTATTGGAGCAAGGTTGAATAGACTAGAAAAAACAGTAATCTTTAGTTTTGTTATCTAAAAACGTCGCAATTGAGTCTTAGGTTAAATTTCCAATTGAAATACAATAAAAATGACTTGTTTGTTTTAAAATGTTAACTATGAAACTCAAGAGTCGCTAAACGGCCCCTGCATCGTCGTCAGCTCATAAATGTCCCCACTGAGAGGCTCGCAGTCTACCCCAAGTTAGGGGTGACTAAGCCATACTCAACCACGCTGACCAACTACGGTCGAATTCACACATATCTTTGAATTTCTTCACAGATATATGAAGGTTGCATGACGTTTTCCTTCACCTATGGACATCGGATAAAATGTATGGAGTCGAACCCTCCGGTCCAGTCAAACACTTAGCATCTGCGCCACCGACGCTTAGTGTATGAGAAATCTACACTAAGGGGTCTGCAGTGACCAATTAACATCTCTGGTTGTATGAGATTTAATGAGAAATCTACACTAAGGGGTCTGCAGTGACCAATTAACATCTCTGGTTGTATGCGATTTAATTGACATTGAATTCCTACTAACTAATCTTTTTTGCAGTTTTTTAAGGCTGAGGAAATACATAGCAATACCAACAAGATAACTATTTTGTTACTCAAATAATTACGTCTAGAACCTAACTTAAGTCGTTGGGAACTTTCTTTGTCTCTTCCATTTTAACCTAACAATTAGAATTATTTATTTACTGTTATTCGAATAATAATTTTCGATAATCATAACTTATTTTTATAAAAACCAATGTATATACAGTATATTAAAACTTCGTAATTAAAAAACCATGCACGGACTGCAAAAGTTTTATCATCGTGTGTTTTATAATTTACGCAAATTACGCGCAAGCCTGCACTTACTTTAATGTCGTTTAAATGAATATTACGTTTTATGTCAAGGCACTTTATACGTGAATACGATACTTAATATTCTTATCTTTATGATTTATTTTATATAAACCTTTACTAATTTAAAGGCATAAAAATTGAGAAAAAGATAAATAACTTGTTTCCTAAATGGACTGCAACTGAACTGTTTTTATAGCTTATTTTATTTTTTTTATTTGATGAATGAATTAGTGAAATTATTATTATGTAATTTTAATAAAATACTTTGTATAATTATAAATTATACGAATATTTTGTAAAGTAAAATATTTGCGTTTCAATATAGCGCGATAAACAGCGCCATCTATTGAACACTTCTGATACTCGTTTTGACAGATACCATGTATGTTGATAATAAAAAATTTACTAATTTCTATTAAAATTATAAAGACAAACACCCAAAATAAATAGGTTACTATATTATTTACACTTAATTAAGTGAAATAAACATAATATAACATCAATTTCGTAATACTTACTGTGTAATAACATAATATCAGCTGACATCTGTCAAAACTTTTATCACAAATGCTCACAAAAACACCGATTTTTCATAAACGACACATTTATTCTTCATTATTCCGTTGAAAAAATAATATATACGGTTAAAAACTATTATTTTCGACGCATTTTAGCAATATTCCATCTCATATTGTGAATAAGCATAACCTCAAAAGTCAACAAAAGAATATGAAACACTTTTATTATATTTCTTCACTGATTTACATGGAAAATGAAGTGCAACCTGCTAATTATATGATGCTAATGGTGAAACCAATGTATTTAATTTATATTCCTTGTAAAAAGTCACTAAAATTATTATCACATAGAACTTTAAAATGTATACTTTTAACATAAAACTGATCTTTTTAAGGCTGAAAGTTCTAAAAGGATAACATGACAAAATCCAAAATTATACAATGTTGATGTTTTTTTACAGCTACTTCAAGGAGAAATTATTTATTCAACCCAAGTGTAGCGACTCTATCCATTCAAACTTAATTTTAATTATTTCTTGACCAGATAATTAAATTTAAAGTAAATTAACTAACAACATATAATATGATGACTTGTAAATACTGTAAAAGCTTGTTGTAAGCTTTTTTGAGCTTTGTTAATTGCATTATTTAATTTTGTTCAAATCACATTGGTTCAAACTAAATTAGCGGCCACATTTCACTTTACAATACAGTCTCAGTATGGTGACAGGCAGACAGACACAAAGTACACTATGGTCACATAGTCCACTTGGCTGATGTATGGAATATTGCCAAAACCGTCTGCAACCCACCTTCTTCATGATGCCTGTCTTCCGCTTGGAGAATGTTGTGTACCGTCGAAGTTTATTATCTATGTACTCCATCTTGATCTTTACACGTCCTTTTGTCTTCTTGCCATTGGATGGGGGAGACTTTTTGGGTTGAAGAGATGCGTAACCATCATCCGCTATGTCGGGCATGGGGCAGTGTTCCAGGCCGAGACTCTGTGATGGCCTCTCGTCGTAGCACTGGTCCGAGGGTCGCTTGACGCCAGCCCGGGGCACTGGGCAGGGCTGCATCCCTGGCCGGAGCCCGCCGCCGCCGAGCGAGCTGGGCGGCCTGCCCGCACCGTACATGTCACCGACGTCTCCGAGGAGTCCCATACCATACGGCGACCCGAAGCGGGGCTCCCGCGCTCCGCCGGGCGCGTCCATTATAACCTCGCAGTACGCCACAGTAACCGTGCGCACACGCGCTATACACACCTCACCGTTCGAACGCCGAACGGAGACTGACCGAAAACGCGAAAGAACCGAGGGCGGGACTGACGACTCGGCCGCTCGGACCGCAACTGACTTCGCGCGACTGCGTCCCGCGCGCCTCGATCGCTATCTGTCTCGCTCTCGCGCGCGGTGTCGCTGCGAACGGCGAGAGGGATGGCCGCGGGAGCGCGACGTAACCCGACACATCCGCAGGGAACCGGGAAGCCGCGAACGTTTCAGTGCCCGAAATCCGTATTAAAATAGAGATTTTATTTTGAGTTTATTTCGTAAATAGAAATAATAGAGACGGAAGCGCAGCGCGGCTGGCGGCGCGGCGCGGTGGGCAGGCCGCCGGCCATATTTAGACTCGAGCCGTGCCAAATATGGCAATGACGGTCAAATGGGGGCCACTGAAATCCCTCCTACTCGCAACTGGCGATTTTCACGTCTAATAATTAAAAACTTTGTCACGTCAGTTATTGTGCGAGTGTACAGCGCACCCGCCAGCACACGCACTCAATCGACCAGTGGCAAAGTGGCAATGCAGATAGCTTTGCTGTGCAAGAACCTGCGCCGCCTTCGTAGCACAGCGACGACAATTTCACAGCATTTTCATCTGTACTTTAAGGAACCTTACATAAATTACAATACACGACAGAAAGCTAAAGAAAAGTGAGTTCAGATTGCAAAGTAAACATGCTGGGAAAACTGCTAGTATTGTGCAAAGTATATTTGAGATTTATAAGCCTTTGTTTCTTTCTTGAAACATTATAATATGTAGGTTGTTATTACTAGGTAGGTATATATAAACCATAAGTTGTACCAACCAACGTAATTTCAAGTAAAATTTGTCAGAAGAATTTCAAAATCAAAACGAGAGAAGTTAGAAATAAAACTGAATAGACTTAATGTAAATTGAATGCATGCAACACATGACCGACTTATCGTTGATTTCTGAGGCCTAAATCTCTGTATAAAACATATCGTCATCCCTGTCAATATCTTTGACAAAACAGAGATAACAATATGTTTTAAACGGAGATTTTAGTCTCAAACCTGTCGGTTATTCACTTTTATTTTCTTAGATTTCCGTAGACCGAGAAGCGATCGTAAACAGAACATTAAATCTGTTTTATTCTTTGGACCTGATGTCAACCATGTTATGTTTTTTCCGTAAGTTCTAAAAGAAACAATCGGTTTGAAAGTGTATAAAGAAATTTAAGCAACCTAAAACTTACTTTCTATTCAGTCTTACTTTATTGAAATTAAATCGATTTAAAGAGTCGGACATAAAGGCGCGCCTGCGGTGTTCCTTAAGATACCCTATCTTTGGAAGATTTCCCCCAACACTAAAAAAGGGGGGCTGTAAAAATCTCGACTAGGGCGCCAGAAATGCCAAAACCGGCCCTGCCTTTTCTTCCAAATTAATTCAAATAATCATCTCAAAAAGAAAGAATATCGCCTTCAGCCGTAATTGTTTCCCAAGCGTTGGTTGTTGGTAGTTCTATAACACGTAATAAAATGTTGAGGCGTCGGCTAATTTTGGTAAATTAATTAAGTTTTATATCGATTTTACGATGTTATTAGCGAAAAACTGCTAGAATTGCCACGACAGCGCCCACAAGCGGTGCGAAATGAACGCAATCGCTTTTCCATTTACAGAAAACTTTATTGCATTTAGTCACAGTTCATTCAACTCAGTTCAGCTTTTATACACGTATATATCGTTTATTTTATCTTAAGTATTTTACTTTAGATTAAGAATCTATGCAATTTTTCAATGGAAATGCTTAGTTAAAGATCCAGCAAATCGTGTACGACGCTCTGTAAGTTGCCTAAAACCTTTTGTACAAGGCAATGTAAATCTTCAAACCTAATATTGTATCCTTGCGTCGCGCGAATCGAACCGAGATGTCCATTCAGTACAGACATAGCGACTACGAGTCACCTGTATAAGCTTCGCCATCTTGAAATTCATGGGTTTTAGTGACTATCTTAAAAAAACAGAGGGCGAGGGCGACTATTTGCGATACGTCACGATACGATTCCTAAAGTCGTCGGCAAAATATGTCAAAATTTGTATGAGATTTGGTGTACTTTAAGCCCGGTACGACTGTGGCACTTTTAACACCATTTTGTCTATGGCGTTACGGAAACTTTCAAATATTCTTCCTCACGTTACGAGTGACTAGGTTTATAGCGAGCTTTAGCGATGAAATAACATAATGTTGGCGACTCGCGCTTTGGGACCTCTATGGGAATGTACATATTGTGTAAAATTTGGTTACTAAAAATCGTATGTGGAGCTTAGTATCGCTTAGACAAACAAATCAAATATATAGGCTGCTCCTAGTGCGAGGATAACTGGAGGACTGGTAAATACGCATAAAACCTACCCCTCTGTACCCATTTTCTATTGTACTATTCAATGTAAACTTAAATTTTTGTGTTATAATTAACTATTTTTCATTTTCATTTTCATATCGCCTTCTGTACAAAGGTCCAGCTATAAGCATTTAACTAAGAAAAACTTAAATGGACGTAACAATATGTATCGAGAAGTATTTTAGAAGCAATCCTTTTTCTTTTCTGTAAGACTTTAATAAATTAATAGAATTTTGCAACTAAATGAATGTTGTTTAAAATTAATTCTACTTTAATGAATCGCAGCAGCCGCATTCCGTAGCGTGTCGTGTGCCCGCAACTTTGACGCAATGCTACCTTTCTACACGTACTTATGTCATAAGCTATGCCTAGCTGTTATCTTACTAATATTATAAATACAAATGTTTAGATGGATAGATGAATAATGGATGTTTGTAAGAAGGTATCTCTGGGACGACTTAGCGGATCACGATAAAATTATGTAGTGAGTGTTTGAAAGAAAATCCGACACTGTGCCGGTGTACAGGCGCAACACTAGCCTTACTAAAATGTCAACGTTTATGTCCCCTCACTAATCTGACACTTTGTAACGAAAGCGCGCCATTCGCGCTAAATGATTCTAACTAAAAATATCTAAAAGTAACAAATAGTCTGGAAGAACACATACTTAAGTTTTTTTTAATGCCGCGCGTACGTAGCCTCGGACAAAACTATAAGTAAATAAATAAATGTAGAGTTGGTTTGTCTGCAAAGGGTAATAAAGGAATCTCAATATAACAGCGACTGCAGTTTTACAATTGGTTGTATTGATACAGTCGCCTACATCATAAATATTGGGGTACAACTTGTTTCTAATATAGTCTAATCATGAAAGAAGTAATAATTGGTTACAGTCAAGAGTACGAGGTATCATTACCGTGAAAAATCAATAAAAATTCATCATCATCATCATCATAATCGGCAACCGGTCTGACATAGCCCGAGATCAAACGCAGAACGCAAGATAGAGCGAACTGGCGGCGCCCTATGGATGCTCTCTGCCCCACTACGAGGATAAAGGACTTTAAGTCACTCAATCATCATAAACCTGTCCTTTTCTCTACGGAGAGCCGGCATTATGTACATACATCCACCCCATACATCTCCTCAGCCGTCATATCTTTTTTTCCTACGCATCATGGCGAGGCCACGGGCACGCTTGCGCTTTCTTCCGCGACCTCGCCTGCGTCAGCTGCCGAAGCGGCTCCCACTATGGGGGAGGGCCTACCTTCAGCCTTAACCGTCATATCTAAATTCACTCCCTTCTTACGCATAACCTCTTTCATACAATACAGCCATACTTTCTCCTGTCCTCCTCTACCTTTGTAGCGGTCCATTCAATCTCATTACTGAAAACTCTAAGAAGAAAATCTAAGAAATAATACCAGTACCACTCATCCTGATGAAGGGCCCCCGATGGGTTCGAAACTAGTCGGTGCCGCCACCGGACGAATATACGTGAGTGTTTAGCCGTGTTTATATATCAGTTTAATAAAAAATCTTGTAATATTTATATATGAAAACAACGCTAGCTTTTGCCTTGATATTAATAACCACGTTACGTAACCGGACATTATAATTCAAAAATCATTTTAATTATTCGATTGTCTTCATTATATTTTTCTAACCAAAGCAAAAGACGTAGCGGCCATAGAGGCAATGGACATCCGGTGCGTTGAACTCACCAATATTTAATTCATAAGCAAAATATGGCGGACTTAACATTATATTATAATTGTTTTGCGTCACCCTCTATCAATATTGTTTAGATACAATCAGATTTCTATAAGATTATTAATATTTAATTAACTGTTTGAACGTGTCATAGAATTTGTTGTGTAAAATTGCGTTGCGTACATCAGCATTAACGTAGCTTTGTCATAAACTAATTTTCAAATAATAAAACTTTTTGGGACTAAATTATAACAATTATATGGAGAACTGATCGCCAACCTTCGTTAGTCGGCGAGGCACCTCAAGAAGAAGAAGATTATAGTATAATTACATCTTGAAAATTTACAATTCGTAAAAATGCATTGTTTGCCTGCGACATGTGATTGGGTTCTCAGTAAAAAAAAACTTAGAGCTAGTTAAGGAATCTTCTTTTCCTCTCCGTATACTGGTGTAGAAATATTGATTAAATTTTTTTTGGTTTTATATCCAGTATTATCCAAACAATTTTTATCAAAGATATCTCGCAAGTTAAACAACCTTTATCTGAGAGAACGCAACGGCGTAAAATCAACGCCGTCACCATTCTATTAGCCGGAAAAGATTCGATCTGTTCGCGAACAATACTCTCCCGCCGCCATATATCCGAGAGAGTTTACTTACGACTGTGCTTTAGTATTGTCGCCCGATATATTTGCTCGGCGTGGCCGCAAATCGCCGGGGCCTTTGCCTCGCCGACAGCGGCCGCATTGTACCCGCGCGGGAGGTGTTAACGTCAGCCACCGCAAATATGTACCAAGATGGCGGACAAGAGCAAAAAGCGCGCGAACATGCGGCCCCGTCGAGATTTATTGGCGCGAAACACCCTAGCAATTTTAATTAGAACGGCCTTTTAATGAATAAAGACATAAAACGTGTAAGTGGATTCCGGCAGATCTTCGTATCGTTATTGTAATTGCATTCCTGAATTTGTCTGATTAGGA